CTTCAAGAAGGGGTTGAATCGCACCCTGGAGGCCAGCTTCGTGCTGCATGACCGGGCCAACTCCACCTTGCGCCTCGCATGCCGAAAGGTATCGCGCATGTGGTTGGTGGATGGATTGGGCTTTAAGTTTTGCCTGACCGGTTTTGTGGCAGAGTCGGAGTCATGGATGTTATGATTTGCATGATCCTGGCAGATGGCAATGTTGACTGCTGCTGCTGCGCAAGCTGGAAAGGTAGTGTGGGATCTTGGCTTCCTTGCATTTGGGTGTGTGTCCAGCAAAGGACAGGGGATGGAGGTTTGACAAGTTGGATGGTGTTTAAAGGGAAACCAAGGGGACTTCCCTTGTTTTTCGGGGCGCCTTGCTCGTGAACATGCTCATCTCCTGAGTTTGGTTCCCAGGCAGATGTTCAAGAAGCACCCAGACACTCTGAAGCAATGCCTACTGGTGGTGGGCCAGCTGGAGAAGCCCGAGCATATGAGGCGCGAGGAATTTAACGTTCCATGATCAGATACAATTTCCCGAATGAGCCAAACAGTGCAAGCCCTGAAACAGGGATTTAAGACCCAAGCCATTACCATGGCACAAGTGCATTGAAGGCGCGGGGGAGGTTCCCCAAATGAGCAATACTGATACTCGCAGGCTGTTGTGAGTTTGGCGAGGTGAAACGGGGGAACAGCCAGGGGCCAACAACACTTGCGGAAACAAGATCACTGCCATGTTTTCCGAGAAGCGCCGAGCCTCAGGGGCCAACCAACCAAACTGTTGCGTGGCTTTGGAGGGACGAATAATTAGCATTGTTTACTCTAATCTAATAATGTGTGTGTGTGGGTGTCACGGAGTACCTGGTGCCATGTTGGCTGCCCTTCAGTTGACGTTCCGAGGATCCAAAGTTATGACATCTACCCTGTGGTGTTAGCCACGAGCCCGAGCCAAGATTGCTCGGAACATTGCTGGCTGCCTGTTGGGCCATCAAAGGCTGCAAAGGGGCTACTTAAAAGCGGCCGCTGCTTCTAGTTTAGGTAATTCGCCATACTGTCCGGAGTCTGGGTGCATGCATGTTTGACAACAAACTGGAACGCACTCTTTGCAATCACGGACATATTTGCGCAACGGGTTGAGTTGGAGGTGTGCTCGCCACCCACCCATGCGTAGCTTCTTGAGGGGAGAGCAACCGTGCCCTAAGGTCCGAACTCCTCGAGTCTGTTTCTGTTTTGAAAAGACCCCAAGAACATGCAGCATAATGACCAGAACAAGTGGGTCAAAGAGGCAGTGAACCCATTGGCGATCATTGGCGCACCAGGCACGTGCACGAGAGGATTGCCTGGTCCAAGTGGCACACCAGCATCCCGTGCATCGGGGAGTCTCAGATGGGGAAGTTTACCATCTCTGACGCCTACGGCAATGCCAAGGAGCGCTTGGCTGGCTGCCAGGGTCTATCGCCCTTTGACCGAATGAACTTGCCTGACCTCACTCTGGGGTAACTAGCACTGCTTCAAGCCCAGAACCGTTTGCAAAGGCCGTCACTTTTTTGAGGCTCCAGTGTGATTGACGATTCACGGTAAATGCCATGTGTTTTGTGCTTCTAGCTTGGACCCGAGGACTACTACGAGGAGCGTATCCGCCTGGCGTTGTACTACTGCAAGGCCTCCGAGTTCGTAGACCTCGAGAAGTCCCTGGCGCAGCGTTTGCAGGGCCTGGACCCACGAGCCGGGCGTGGGGCCCTGAGCGCCAAGGACGCCAATTCCAAGGGCCAAGGCAAAGTGATGAAGTCGGAAGGGGGGGAGTCCGCGTGTGATGCGAAGTCTGAGTTGAGAGATGTTTTGGTTTTCTTAATTTCACACACGCTTGTTCTTCGCAAGCGAAACCCGTACAAAAGATGGACTCCTTGAGGCGCCTCGGCATTTGTTCACAGCGCCGTGGCCGAGCGGCGGCACCTGTGCATCTTTGTGCCCTCCAGCGCCCGGCAGCGGCGGTTTGTGGAGGCGGCAGAGGCGGCGCAGAGAATTTGGGGAACCGAGCGACTCGGTTCGGAGCGTTTTTATCGAGCCTTGGGATAGCCGGCTTCATGTCTTTCAGTTTGCCTTTGAAGTTTACCCCTTCGATATTTTTTGTTGCATTGTGCCCCTCTCTGTGATGGTTGCTTATCCGGTTTGGGTCAAGCTATGGCTTGTGACGGACCCTTCCACCTTATGGCCTTATGGTCTTGTTGTTTCCCTGCCGATTTGTGTGGCAATATTTGGCCGTGCCTTCTCCCGACCATGTCTGCTTTTTGTCTTGGCTTCTTTCCGCGACTATTTTTAGGTCCCGCCCCCAGAAGGTTGACCTTTCAACTTGATGCTTTATGCCCTGCACTTGGTGCAAGCGGTTTCTGAGTTCGCTGGAACCTTGGAGTAAGGAACACCTGGTTCGTAAGCAAGGTGCCCTTGTCGGAGGCGTTGGATGGTCAGACCTGGATGCTGGACACGGACATAGACACGGATTACGCGCACCTGCCGGTGAGGACTTCACTGGGCCGGTCCCTTGAAGTGGTTACATGTTGGGTGCTTTCCCTTCCAACCTCTGATACCAAGGAATCCCACGCAAGGCAAACGACTAGGAACGGGAGTAGCCCAGTTTGGTATCACAAGGGGTTATTTGCCCCAACCGTGTGCGAGGACCTTCTTGCTTTTCGAGGCCTTGGGGCAACCGGAGTGGGTCAATGCCTGCGATTGGTACATGAAGGCTGATGCCGACAGCTTTCTCAACGTGCCCTTGATCGAAGAGAGGCTGAGATGCTTCGACCCCTCGGAGTTCTGGTTTTTGGGTGTGCCGCAGGTCGCCCATAGCTCTAGAGGTGTGATGACGAGATTTGCGTCTGGGGGTGCTGGGTACATGGTCTCCCGCGCCCTGCTGCCAAAGCTGGCAACGTGGTCGCCCTTCTGTTTGCTTCAACTCTTGCAGCACGCTGGCGGAACGGGCATGGAGGACGTGTCCCTGGCCGGCTGTATTTGGAAGTGGGGCCGAATCAACGTGGTGAGCTACTTGGACTACGCGACCGAGGTCTGGGGCTGCTGTTATGTGATGCATCCCTTGTCGTGGAAATAGGGTTTGTCTTCTGCCACCTTCGGTGCGAAGGTCAACTTCCAGAAGCTGGTTTTCATGGGTGGCCTTCGCCTGTCCAAAGAATCGCTTCAACACGGGTCCACATTTGGAACTTGGGTACGCTTTCAACAATTGAACGCAGACTCATCCCCTCATACCCATCATTTCCATCGAACCCATCAAACCCACAACATCTTCACATTCATTTGTTTCGCCCGCGCCGATCCTCTCTTTTGAGTTCACACGACCTTTGACGGTTTCTCCTCCAGCAAATTGCCTAAGCCGAACACAACTGTCCTTTTCGGAGAAATGGCATTCAGTTGATACAACGTGCAATCATTCTGCTCGGTTGTTGCCATGTAGTAGTGGCATGCCATGACCTTTCTTCCATATCCTTGCGCCGTTGAGTTGGAGCAGCCCTTTCGCATTGGCACAAAAGATGTCGTTTTGAGGGGCCCAGCCCCCCTTGGCGTCTCCCCGCGCCCCCTGAAAAGGTCATCACCAGCGAGGCCGCCCTGAACCGCACGCGGGTGGCCGAGCCGCTCGGCGCCGCGGTCGAGGCCGCGCTGGCGCTGGTTCCGCCCTGCGCGGCGGTCGTGCACTCGGTGATGGCCGAGGAGTCGTCATTCGAAGGTCAACCAAAGCTACGGTGGGTTGCCAACACCACGACAAAGGGTACCATTAAGCCTCATAACCGTCATAGGTTGAAGATCAGTGTCCAAGTGGGTGCAGGGTAATGAGTGGGTGCAGGGCAATTAACGTATCTCTTGTTGATGAAAACTGCACGGATGCTTGGACAAGGGTTAGATTCCGCTTGGAAAAGTGCCAAACTTCCCGCAAAACATCGCAACCGCACCACTTTGGAAAGGACCTTGCTACGGTGGCGAACAAAGTGCGTTTGGCCGGCGCAGGCGGTCTGGTTGGAGGGTGGAGAGGGTGTGGGAAGGCAGGAGGCATTTGTTGGGTGAAGAAGGGCTGAAAGAGAGTTCTCGTCCAGCGGTCGAGTTCTTCAGGTGCCAAATGTCTAGTTGCTTTTCGGGGTTGGTTTAGCGTCAGGCAACAAAACCAGTGCGTGTGTGCCTTGCTGAGGGGGTACTTGTTTAGTCGGTACGAGCAGTTTTGCCCTTGTTGAATTCACCTGTGGCCTGAGCCTGGCCAGGGGCAAGATAGTGGCTTGACCATGCCTTGGGATAAGAACACATGTTGCATAATATCTTGTTTGGCCAGTCTAAGCACTTTGTTACTTTGTTGGAGCGTCTCCACCCTGCAAGCCAGGTCCAGCCATTGGTACCCTGCCCCGGGTTTGTTTGATACGGTCTTGCTGCTTGTTGTCTCTTTGTCGCGCCCAGTACTGATGCTTGTTTGGACCAGAGGATTCCCAACGGCTTGGATGTCTCCAAAGTCCAGGACCCCCAAAAATTGACCCTTCCCTTTGGTCCATTCTAAAACTACTGTACCGTTTTGCGGCCTACCCCCCACTCACAGGCGCGGAGTGTTTGCCGGACCCCGCACGCCTTGCGACTGGGGCTGCCACCCTGCTGGCGCCGGACGAGGCAGAGGCGGACGCGCCGCGGTCATTCGGCGAAGGCGAGGAGAATTGGGCAGTCTACGGGGAGCGCGAGTTCAAGGCGCTGCTGGCGTGTAGTACCCAAAGGAAAAGAATTGTCAAGCGCGGTGCTCTTCTTTGCCTGGCAAAGGTTGCCAATGTGTAGTTTGGTCAAACTGTCAGTAGTCTATGGTATGTTTTACCTTGGCAGGGACAAGGGGGTGCTCACCAATTAATTACAAGAGCCAAGAAAAGGAACATACATTTTCCCATGTCCTCTTACGAGAACCGAAGGCATATTCTGTCGTGGCTCATGTGGTTTTGCTCGGATACTTTGAGGCCCCACTGATCTACTGATCTGACTCTGCCGAGGCTGAAGGTTCTCACCTTCGAGGCGCGCAAGGGGCTTGAGCTTGGTGGGTTGCCCGAGGGCAGAGGTGCTTGTTTGCTTGTTTTGGTTGTTTGTTTTGTGCTATAGTGTTTTGCTAATGAACACCTGGGTCCCAACAAGGACCCGTATTTTCGACAACCGCACGCCTGCCCTTCCAACATGGAACCTGAAAGGTTCCTTTTCCAGGGAAACCCAGGTGGTACAGCTGCTGTGTGTATGTTTTCAGGATGTACCCCAAATGTTGAGGTCTTCAATTTCTGGGCTTGCCCGAGAGGCAAAAGCCAAAGGCAACGCCAGCAATGTTGGGTGTTCCAAAATGCCAGCATCTTTTTATCTGTTTCTAAGATGTGGCATACAAACCGCCACGCGGTTTGCTGGGCCTAAGCTGAGGCTCGGAAACCCCGTGCCAGGCACGGCAGAACCGACACCAGGGGATCAGGAGCCATGCCGAGCTGGGGCAGGCGAAGCCGACCGAGGGCTTACCCAGGTGCGACAGTCAGTGAATGATCAAGTTACACATAGGCAAGGGGAACAGTGTTTTTTGCGAGTTGGTGTAGGGGAGTTGCAAAATCAAGTTGGGAGAAGTCGCTCACGCACGTCCTTGGGGCAACAGACGGCACGGATTTGGTCGGTGAACAACGTCGCGGAACTCCACACACGCATGCCTTTGGGATAAGGTTGGTGTCTTCAACGTCTCGTTGTACAGACCCAACAATTGCCCCCTTAGTGACTGGCTTCCCATAGCAAAGCCACCATTGATGGTCAATTTGGACATACGAGTGCCGGCTTCATACCAGGGATCATACATGAAAGCATGCATTTTCCCTTTGTGTCCTTGTTTGTTGACATCGGTTCCTGTTCGAGGTGCTCGCTTCTTTGAGAGATGCCAACAGCACCCTGAGTTGTTAGGTTGAATCCTCGAAAGTGGAAAACCTGGAAGCCTGGAAATTGGCATCCAACCATCAAGCACTACTAGCACTACCCAGGTTAACATTATCAGCAGCACTGAGCCTTGTTTTTTGCCGGGAACTTCCAATTATGGCCTGGGGTAGGTCGACTTTCCTTGCTTTTGCAAGCCCGGTGCACATGGAGGAACACGGCTGGCAATGTTTCAAAGCCACCAGTGATATCGTTGGGTCGGCACCTTGTGTTTGGTTGGCGGCGCTCTCACCGCGGCCATTCTTTAAGGCCCGCTGCTCAAGGGAGCGATTGCCTATTTTGGCCTTGTTTGCGTCTTTGAAAGTTGAACCACTTGATGTCCGTTTTAAGCCTTGGAGTCCATCACACTTGCCACATCTGTTTACACATGTTCAAAGTCCAAGCGTCCTGGTTGGGGAATCAAAGGGCCGCCTGAGAAGAGAAGAATCCCCTTCTGAGCATCCCTTTTGAGGGGGACAAAGGGAGACCAAGCCCGTCGTGCCTTTCAGGCCCTCGTCAGCATTCAAGAGAACCGCTCCCAAAACGGCCGGGCCTGTGAGGCATGCGGGGGGAGGTTGGAGGGTTTGAAGGGCATTCCACAAGCTCAGCGCATTGCCTGACCTGTGCGATTTCAATCATGTTCATTTGTTTGGCTGTTGTTGAAGAGTGGCCTGTGGCGGCCAAGCACCAAAAGCTTTAGACTTACACATCCCTGCGGCTTCACTCTTGGTAAACATGCAAGAGTTTCTGTTGTAATGCTGGGAACCAGGGTGTTTTTTGTAAGGCGAAGTTTGTTTTACACATCCTTGCCGGGCAAACTGTCAGCTCTCGGGTTGAAATGAGCTCGAGCTGCCAGGAGCTCCAGGCGGAGTTGCAAGGCGTCGCGCAGCGCTGTGCCGAGGTCTGGGCGGAGGCTGGGAGAAAAGGGGGGTCGTTTCTGTGTCCAGGTGCCAAGTGGCGCACGTGTTAGCCGCTTGTTGGGATGGGCTTCTGTTTGAAGTCACCCAACAAGCAAAGCGGGGCCCTGGTTGTACTTGCCA